CCAGTGGCTTCATCCACATGCAGACAACTGCCAGGACCGCGTCTTCAGCCAGACCCCTGCGCTCCTAGCTCACGGGCCCGTTTGACTGGACACTGATGCTTGGATGTCCCACTGGTGTTACGTGTGTTTCCACTTGAACTGTCATTTACCCCCCCCATTTCGCCCCCCAACCTACTGCCGGGTCACCCACCGTGAATGGCAGTGTCATCCATCATCTAGCAATGCGGCCTGGACTGGAAAGCTGGACTTTATCGTGACCGCACTCTCTCTCACCCCTGTATCTGATCAGTCACCAGGTCTTGCTCCTCCCCCACCCTCACAGCCACTGTAGCTGGGGCACCTTCCTGCCCCAAGGTGCTTATCACAGCTAAGGTTCCTTCTCCCTGCCTGCCACCTTGCCCCGTCACAGCCCTTTCCCCACACTACCGCAAGGATGCGCTGGCCTTCCTCTTCCCCGCACCTCTGCCTTTCTACCATGGGCGAAATATCCATGCTGCGGCCAAAGCCCCACGCGCATGAGGGCATCCACCCGCCTCCCACCCCCATCTACCCAAGGACCTCGCTCCCATAATGATCCCCAGCCTTTGATGGTGATCAGTTTTCCCTCTGCTGCAGTGTGTGGAGACGTGTTCTAGTTTCTCCCACCTCTAAAAGTCTTCTCTCGGTGTTCCTCGTCCTCCTCCAGGTACCAGCCCATGTGCCTGCTTCCCGTCATAGGAGAGGTTTCTTGAAAAGAGTTGGTTGTGATCGCTGTCTCCACTTCCTCTCCTTTTTCTCCTCAGTCCAGCTTCTTTCCCAGCATACCCAAAACTGCTGGTGTGGGTCGCCAGTGCCGTCCTTGTTGCCAGGTCCAGGTCTTGTCGTCATCCTTCTTACTTGACCTCTCAGCAACACTTGACACGAGGGAGCATTCTCCGCTCTCTTGGCTTCTACCCCTTCCACCTCACTGGCCATTTTTTTCATCTCCTTTTCTGGCTCCTCCTCTGCAGACCTGGAAGTGTTGGAGTGTCCAGTGGCCTCATACTTGCACTCTTCTGTTCTCCATCTGTCCTCAGTCCTTGGTGCTCTTGCCTAGTCCCTGGCATTAAAAACAATCTATACAATCTGATAATGTCCAAATACATAGCTCCAGCCTGACCTTCAGATTTACCTTGAAACCGCACGTGGTCCATCTCATCTCACAGGCATGTCAAAGCCCCACATCCCAGCCAGAAGTTCTGGTTTCCTCTCCTCCTCCCTAACTTGCTCCTCCCTTAGTCTCTCCCATTTCAGTGAGTGCCACTCCCATCCCCCGCGTCGTTCAAGCCAAAAACCCAGCAGAGAATCATGGTAGATTTTCTCATTTCCCGTTATTCCCTTCACCTAAGCTGTGAGCACCTGCTTGTTAGCCCAGCTGCTAAACAGAGCCTGGCTCTTTCATCTCTCTCCACCTCCATTCACCTTTTGCCTGGTGTATTGAAACAGTTTCTTGTCTAGTATCTCGGCCTCTCCTTTACTTCCCCTAGAATTTTTTTTCCCACGTAGATATTTTTTAAATGTAGGTCAAATCATGTCACTCCTTTATTTAAAAACCCTTCAGCATCTCCTGTTGAGGAAGTCTCACAGGATGTAGCCCCACCTACCTCGCTGACCTCATCTTGAGCCACCACCATCACCTCTCCCATCCCACGCCCACCTCGCCCTGCCAGGCCCTGGGCCTTCTTGTTCCTTCAGCACTCCAGCCTTACGTGTAGGGCCTTTCTAGCTTTGCCCAGGAAACTCCTTCCCTGGGTCTTTGCAGGGCTGGCTCTGTGTTGCCATCCAGGGTTTCAACGCAAATTTACTTCACCCCCTCAGAGAAGCTTCCCCAGACCATCTAATTAAAATACAGTAGCCTCTTCATTCCCACCACTCAGTTCCTCTCTGATGTTATCCTGCTTTGTTTTCTTCACGACACTTGTTGCAAAATGAAGTTATATTGACCATTTTAAAATGTTAATCTGTTTTTGCTAAAAGAACATAAATTCTAAGAGAGTGGAGTGTACCTCGTTCATTGTTGTATCCTCAGCACCTGCACCATGCTTACTAGCACAGAGGAGGTACTTAGTGAACTCTGTTGGATGAAATCTGATCACACTGCCGCTGTCACTTCAGTGGCGCCCTCTTGCCTTGAGAATACATTCCAGGGCCCTTGAAGACGTTTGTAAGTTCCTGTGTGATCGGGCCCCTGCTTATTCTTTAACCCATTGCTTCTCGACCAGGGTGGGGGAGGTGTGTGCGGCAAATTTGCTGTGTCCCATCCGCCCACCTCCACCCACGACGGAGATTTGGCAGTGTTTGGAGGTACTGTCTGGGCTGTCATAACTACAGGAGAGCTACTGGCATCTAATGGGTAGAGGCCAGGGAAGCTGCTGCACATCCTACAGTGCACAGGACAGGCCCATAAAGAATGATCTGGTCCAGAATGTCAGGAGTGCTGTGGTTGAGAGTCTAGCTGTGCCTCTAATAAGCCTCTGTCACGGTCAGAGGTCTAGCCGTGCTGAAAGGCAGTGTGCTTTCTAGCCTCAGAGCCTTGTCCTTGCTGCTCCCCCACCTAGAACACCCCTTTCTTTCTTCACTATTCCCAATGCTGCTGACCCTCTTTGTTGCCCAGATAGAGTCTGGAGGCAAATTAGTTTTTAAACTTTATAACGTGGAGTTAATCTGTTTTGGCAGTTTGGAGTTTATAAAGGTAACTTAAGGTTGCCTCAAACTGAAAGTAACTTCCATACACAAAAATATCCTTTGTGTCCTTTTTTTTTTTTGATGGGTAAGGCTGCTGTTACTGGACTAGAGTAGTATTTCTATTAAGCCAATCGCAGAGAATAAATGAGCTGAATTAGTAAAACAGCACTTAGTGCAGTCAGAGCCTAAGCCATAAAATTAAACTCTCACTTTTTAGATATGATTTAGGATGTTTAAACACATACTAATGAATATTAATTTCTTTGTTTTTCATGTTTTGTGCCACATTAAAATAATTCCTTTTTAATGGTTCATACAAGCAGCTTTTTTTTTTTTTTTTTTTTTTTTACACGGACCTCTCACTGTTGTGGCCCCTTCCAGATGCGCAGCCTCAGCGGCCATGGCCCACGGGCCCAGCCGCTCCACGGCACGCGGATCCTCCCGGACCGGGGCACGAACCCGTGTCCCCTGCATCGGCAGGCGGACTCCCAACCACTGCGCCACCAGGGAAGCCCAAGCAGCTTTTTTACATTGCATTAAAAGTTATGTGTAAGATGATGCCTTTAAAGAACAAAAGTGAGCTCTGGGTAACTTATCAGAAGAGCTTGCCAATTCATGTTATAGTATTTGAATACCATAAATAGGAAGTTGGTGCCAGGGTTGCTTTTTGAATGGACATTCTACCTTTATTCTACACAGTAGACAAAGCTTTGTGGCCCTGCTTTTGTCCTTCCCCCAGCATTCCCAGTACTGCTGACGAAAGAAAATACTTTGAGGTACTGGGATTTGTAAAGATGCCCCACACAAGGATTACAGAGTTAGGTAGATTTTAGTATCTATGAGCAACAGAATCACAGCCCACTAATTTTTTAAAAAAAACTACAATTTGCATTTTATGAGTTTCAAATCACAAGACTTTTAAAATAATTGTGTTTATATAATGTTCTACTTGCATGCTGGTGAGTTTATAGCTTACAGTATTAACACTGCTTTCATTGCATCTTGTTTGTTTTTTCAAATCCAGGGTTTTGTGCATGGATTATTTTCTTAAAAGTTTTCCATAGAACAAAACATTTTAAATAACTTCAAAGGATAAAAATATTCCTTCTGCCTTTGCATATTTATTTTACTGTGTTTCTAGCACTGTAGAATTTTTTTTTAATTTGTATGTTGTAAGGTGGTAAAGGTGGGCATTAGCTTTGAAAGTAATTAAGAAATCTTTTAGTTTATTCATAGCTTTATCTGAAATTTATGTATCAACCTTGCTAAGAAACCCCAGATAGGCACCATTTTACTTACCCCTTTATTCAGAACTCCAGCACCAGGTGGATTCTCCAGCCCTGCCTTTCCATCTCACTCACATTTTAGCCCTCTAGCCTTACTTGGCTCAGTTCTGTAGTTATTTCCTCATTCTTTTCTACCATAAACATTTACTGAATCCCTATTCATATACCAAGCTCTGTTCTGGAGGATAGGGATATGCTGTTAAAAAGGTGATCCCTTTTGGAGTGACAAATTCATGAGTAATTACATTTAACTGTGTGTGATAAATCCTGTAATGGAGAGAGGTACACAGTACAGTGGTGGCGGATTTTTAAAAAGTCAATTCTCCTTGGGAGACTGTAGAAGACTTAGGAGAGCGTGGAATATTTGAGCTGGACTCCTAGATGGAAAAAGGGCAGGGGGAGCTGGGGATGAGAGTCCAGGTGGAAGGAATAGAGTGACTTAGTTTACAACCATCCTTGGTCCAGACGCTTGCTAGTCATCTTTATTTCCTGATTCCTCCCTCCTAACTGGTGTAACCAAAAGTATTATGGCATAATCCTACCATCAGCCATAATATTATACTGAATTTTGAATAGATAATTTGAATTAGATTTTCCATTCAAAAGGAATAATGAGCCACCTAAGACAGAAGGTCATTAGGGAGCTGGCTAGCTAGAGTTGGCTTTCCACATCTTTGGGTAGACCTGTCATCTGTTCATCTGTTTTAGTTCTTTCCTTCTTATCTCAAGACTTACTGTAAATAAAAGGCTGCTTTGTTTGAGATATTTTTATTTTGGAGAGTGTTATTTTTCTCAAAATTGATTTAGTGTGGCTAAGGGGAAAAACTGAAGAGGCAGCTGTCATAGTGATGGTATTTCTGAAGAGGTTCAAACTCTAGAAAGAAAATTACTGTAGAAAAAGGCCGTCTAACTAAGAGTCTCTATGTCCTTGAATTTCATCCTCAAGAACACTTATAAGAAAAATGACTGGTCAAAGGAATCATTGTAGGAAAAAGTGAGAACAGGCATCAGGTTAAAACATTTCAAGCTATGACTGGGATAAAAGAAAGAATAAGATGTCAGCCACCATTAAATAAAGATCATTTAAATATTCTCCTTTTTAATTTGACAAACGGTGACCATAAATCTGACCACCGGGGTGGAGAGAACGCATGTATGTGGTGCTCTTACCATTTTGTGTGACACGGAGCTCGTACTGTACCATCTAAACAGGATGGCAGGGTCTCCACTGTTGCCACACTTTTCTCGCCTCTCACCAACTCCTTTGCTTACTGTTGCTCTCTTCCTGGACTGCAGCTCAGTGGCAGAAAGAATGAGAATAGCTTTTCAAGTCCTGAATGTAAAATATTCATTTTGTCAAGATTTGGTATTCTAAAATGGAATATATATGTGTACACACACACACACACACACATATATATATACATATACAATTTTTTTTCCTGCCTGTGAGGAGGCGGCATGTACCAAGAGCTCCGTTAGGGGAGGACATACTGCTTTCTTGGAATGAGAGGAATCATTACATGGTCAGAATTCTGTTTATATAAGTGAGGAGAAAGTACTGTTATTTTTGTTTGGACTTTTATAGTTTATTGGGTTTAAGGGTGTGTGTGTGTGTGTGTGTGTGTGTATATATATATATACATATATATATATATATATAAACATATATGTATCAGATGTAAAGTTTTTATTTCCTTAGAAATTTGAAAGGACATTCATAACACTGACCAGAAGAACGCAGAGGAAAGTAAGGTACACGGGTGCCATATTGCACTAGCTAATATTTTAGTACTTTAATCAATAATCTGGTTGGTGCAGTTGGCCAAAATTTGCCATTTTAAGGACGTAGAAGATATATCCTCATGCTGATATCAGGCTACATCATCACTATCTTTCTACTCGAGAAGTCGTTTTCGATCAGGACTCTCAATTAGGAGCTTTCCTTTGTCGCAACTGTTTGACTAGCTCACGGTCGGCTCTTGCCCCTTGTCGTCAGGATCCTACGACTTCCGCAGTCAGGGTCGTGACTGACATAAAGGCAGCGGAAGCCTTTCCAAGTGTAAGGTTCTCGAACTGGCTACAACGGGAAACAGGAGTCCCACTTTTCCAACGGATGCAGGGAAATGGTGCAGGAGGCCATTGGGAGACAAAGGATACGCACCTGGTTATTCCTGGCAGGGATACAGTTATGAAAATTTAACCTTATTTTCATCTGTACTGAATGGAAATGTTTTTACTTGGCATATGTAGTGAAAACAGAAAATCAGTAATCGCAAGGATCTGGGTTGTCTCATTATACATGCTAAGTAGTGGAGAGAATTCGAGTTCTTAAAATTTTAACTCCAGAATTCATTTGCGAGAGGAGCCCTACCGCGTCGTCATCGTCGTCCCCCTCCCCGCAATCAGATCAGACCTGAAGTACTTTGCGGAGGCCCGTTTGAGGCCACGAGAGCTGGGCTCGCCTTGCGCAGCCGCAGTAGCAGGCCGCGTCCAAAGGTCCCGGCCTTGCGCAGCCGCAGTAACGGGCTGAGCAAACGGCCAACGGTCACAGCTCTCTGCTTTTGAGCTTGTAAGGCTGCCTGCTGCTTTCTTCCTATCTCTCTTCTTTCACCTCTCGAGTGAGTAGCCATGAGCTGGGCTGTGCGAATGCAGCGGGCCAGGCAGAGAGTGGGCGCTGTGAGACTGAATTGCCTGTGCCCGGGAATGGTGTTGAGTCCCTGCCAGCCGGCAGGCATCGCCCACAGGGGCACCTGGCCCATCGCCCCCGCGTCCAAGATGGCTACGGTCAAGTGTGAGCTTATGAAGAATTTCCCCTCAGAGGAGCCCGTTCGTTGCAATAAGATCTCCATTGTAGGAGCTGGATCGGTTGGCATGGCCTGTGCTATCAGCATCCTGTTAAAAGGCCTGAGTGATGAACTTGCCTTGGTGGATGTTGATGGAGGCAGACTGAAGGGTGAGACAGCGGATCTTCAGCATGGCAGCCATTTTGTGAGAATGCCCAATATTATTTCCAGCGAAGATTACCTTGTCACTGCAAACTCCAACCTCGTGATTATCACAGCAGGTGCACGCCAGGAAAAAGGAGAAACACGCCTTAATTTAGTCCAGCGAAATTTCGCCATCTTTAAGTTAATAATTTCCAGTATTGTTCAGTACAGTCCTCACTGCAAACTGATTGTTGTTTCCAATCCAGTGGATATCTTAACTTACGTAGCCTGGAAGTTGAGTGGATTTCCCCAAAACCGTATTATTGGAAGTGGTTGTAATCTGGACACTGCCCGTTTCCGTTTCTTCATCGGGCAGAGGCTTGGTATCCATCCTGAAAGCTGTCATGGGTGGATCCTTGGAGAGCATGGAGACTCAAGTGTTCCTGTGTGGAGTGGAGTGAACATCGCTGGTGTCCCTCTGAAGGATCTGAACGTAGATATAGGAACTGATAAAGATCCTGAGCAGTGGAAAAATGTGCACAAAGATGTGGTTGCTAGCGCCTATGAGATTATTAAAACGAAAGGTTATACTTCTTGGGCCATTGGCCTGTCTGTAGCTGACTTAACAGAAAGTATTGTGAAGAATCTTAGGAGAGTGCATCCGGTTTCCACCAGAATTAAGGGTCTCTATGGAATAAATGAAGAAGTATTCCTCAGTGTTCCTTGTATCCTGGGAGGGAGTGGTATTACCAACCTTATAAAAGTAAAGTTGGCCCCTGAAGAAGAGACCCATCTGCAGAAGAGTGCAAAAACACTTTGGGAAATTCAAAAGGAGCTTAAGTTTTAAAGTTGTTTAAAACTACCATTCTGAAGTTATTGAAGAAAAGAGAGTAGTTATGGAGTTGTGTATGTCCAGTTTTTGAATAAACTTGAATTCCTAGAAGTTGGAAACAGGGAAGTGGGTAGAGTGACTCCCCTATTTATTTAGACCCCCCCCAGCTCTTTTATTTAGCATCCAGATGCTGAATTATACTTTTTTTTTTAAACAATTCCTAAGTGACTGCATCAAAGAAGGTGTTTTCGTACCACTGATGTACCGGTCCTCACCCTGTGTATGTGTGTGTATAGTTGCCATTTGTCCAAAAAAATGTAGGATGTGGGTGTTTGTTGTGTTACAGAAATTCTGATTCTTTTCATTAAGTACAGGTTCATTCTTTTGTTCTGGGTGACTTATACCTATGTTCATTTATATACTATTTTCTTGACGTTGTAACTTCCTATACAATGTGAAAATAAACGTATACACAGAAGCATTCTGTCTTCATTGCCCTATGACAGCCTATCAGCCAGGCTTTCAAAATGGCATCGTAAAATGGGAGCTGGAAGCAGGTCCTGTGTGTGCTTGTGTGTGTGTGTGCATGCTCATGTATATGTACCAGTGAAGCAGGATCATTAAAAAATGAAAATAATAGTGATTTAGTTGGTAGCTATTATAAAGTATTTAAGGCAGTAAAATATAAAGCTTCAGAAAGAGGCCTGAGAGAGGTGGTAACAGTTACTAAAAATAAAGTCTGACTGAAATAATTTTAGAACTGCCTCTGAGAACCTGACCTGTTAGCACATTAAATCAAGAAGCACATTATAAATTGTTCTTATTGGGCTGAGTCTTACCTGCAGAGTGTGCCCTGGCCCTAAGACACTCCAGGGTCATCTCTGTTGCTCAGTTTACTTCACATTAACGGAAAGATTTTGCTTTTGAATTGTGCCCTGTTGTTAGTCACTGTCATAAAATTTGGCCATTTTAATGAGTACTTCAGGGATTGTATTTCTCAGAAAGTTACATGTTCACTTTTTATTCCTAAATCAGTTGACTTTACTACAGATTCTATACTGTATAGATGTGATACATTGAAGGTTTAGGAGAAAGTAAAGATGCTCGTCTGACCTTTACCTAAATGGTACTAATAACTTAGGAAATGAGAATCTTAGCCCTCCTATTCAATTGAATATTAAATAAATTATATGGTATGTTCAAACATATCTCAGGTTTGATGTGGATATCAATAGGCCTAATCAAAATTGAAACGTACTAGTATCTGCTTTCTTTTTTTTTTTTTTTTGGCTGCATTGGGTATTCGTTGCGCGCGGGCTTTTCTCTAGTTGCTGCAAGCGGGGGCTACTCTTCATTGTGGTGCACGGGCTTCTCATTGCGGTGGCTTCTCTTGTTGCAGAGCACGGGCTCTAGGTGTGCGGCCTTCAGTAGTTGTGGCACACGGGCTCAGTAGTTGTGGCTCGTGGGCTCTAGAGCGCAGCCTCCATAGCTGTGGCGCACGGGCTTAGCTGCTCCGCGGCATGTGGGATCTTCCCGGACCAGGGCTCGAACCAGTGTCCCCTGCATTGGCAGGTGGATTCTTAACCACTGCGCCACCAGGGAAGCCCCTAGCATCTGCTTTCTAAATTAAGCCAGTCCTGCTTATTTAGTTTTATCAAGTAGACATAGGACAGTGATCCAACCCCCAAAACTGACCCTTTACTTAACTGTGCTGATCAGAGCTCCCCTATTATTTCATTGAACCATACTATTTCATTGAAAATATCAAAACGTTCTGATTATCCAGGAAGCTGTGTCATATTATGGGATTAATCGATGTGCTGAGCTCCCTGAAGGTGGCAAAAGTGGTGGTTTGATTGTTCCAGGTGGTTCTAAAACCTTTTTAAGCTTAATTGCACCAAGTTTCTCTTCCCCTTTGTCCAGCCCTTGAATTTTTATTCAGCCATGTTTCAGCCAAATTTAATGTAATATTGAAGGAGATCAGAGCCTGCCTTATGTCTGTTTTGTAATTCTCTTCACCAGCTACTTCAGTCAGGATAGGCTGGGTTATACTATAGTAAAAAATAATCTCCAGCTGTGTGGCTTAAAATAAGAAAAGTTTGGGCTTCCCTGGTGGCACAGTGGTTGGGAGTCCGCCTGCCCATGCAGGGGACGCAGGTTCGTGCCCCGGTCCGGGAGGATCCCACATGCCACGGAGCGGCTGGGCCCGTGAGCCATGGCCGCCGAGCCTGCGGTCCGGAGCCTGTGCTCCGCAACGGGAGAGGCCACAGCAGTGAGAGGCCCGCGTACCGCAAAAAAAAAAAAAATAATAATAAAGGTTTATTTCTCTCCTAAAATTCACTGGGTTTACACAACTTTCTAGGGAAGCTGCCCTCCACAGGCTGGCTTCATACCTCAAGTTTCTTTGATCTTGAGGCACCACTGCAGCAACACAGGTTTCCATGATTGCTATGGAAAGGGAAGAGAGGCCTGGAGAATTGAACACTTGCAATTATGTGCTTCCACCTTGGAAGTGACACACATCTCTCTTCCTCATGTTTCATTAGCCAGAATTAGTTAGATGGTTACCTAACTTCAAGAGGGTAGAGAAGTATAGCCCCCTGTATCCAGAAGCAGATGAGTACTGGCTATCGGGGAGTACTGGTAATAATCTGCCATTTAGCATTCTCAGTAACACGGTCACCATCACAAGAGATACACACTCTAGGCTTTTTAAGTCATTTATATTGAAAGCTGGCACAGGAGTAGAGCTTGTAGAGGTGCCCTGTCTTCCCAGGTCACAGAACCAGGGTGGTTGTGGGGAAAGAGCCTGGATATCAGTCAGGCCATTGTACTCGTAAACCAGATCACCATGGGTGGGTTAACCTCTCTGACCTCTGGTTTCTCATATGTAAAGTGGTGGTCCTCATTTCTGCCACACAGAATTGTGAAGACTGAATAAAAGCCTACTGCTTGGTGTAGTGTCCGGCATATAGGTGATCTCAAATGGCAGACACTGTTATTCCTGTTCAGGGAACATTTATAGTCTTATTCTGTTTTACGAAGAAGCTGAATTTCCTGGTTCTTCAAAATGACCATTGGCACTGTAATTATTGACATATCCAAAGGCTTTCTCATCAGTTGGTCCTATAAAGCTTTCATTATTCTAACCTCAGCACCGAGGCTGGCAACAGTCCTGTACCTGCAAGTGAGAAAACTGAAGCTAAATGAGCTAGTCAATGGCAAAGACACTTTAAAACTTCAAGCTTTTTTTTTTTGCGGTACGCGGGCCTCTCACTGCTGTGGCCTCTCCCGTTGCGGAGCACAGGCTCCGGACGCGCAGGCTCACTGGCCATGGCTCACGGGCCCAGCCGCTCCGCGGCATGTGGGATCCTCCCGGACCGGGGCACGAACCCGTGTCCCCTGCATCGGCAGGCAGACTCCCAACCACTGCGCCACCAGGGAAGCCCTAAAACTTGAAGCATTTAATTCCAATAGTTGTCTATTAGAATATATGCTGTAAGGGTTTTCTCAAATTAAATTGGGGGCATAGCCTCAGCTTTTAAGTAATTTTTCAGCACACTATATATTAGACCAGAAGTTTTCGTGTTGTTTTTTTCCTTGCCAAGACATGCATGGTAAATGTATATAGCATATCCCATGTTTCACTCCTGGCATACCGGCTAAATCGCCCTTTAAAAAGCTGTTGAGGTGTGAATGAGAGTAATAAACATTATTGGAGACATGATCTTGAATCTATTTTAATATCTAAAAAGTCAATCAGAATGTCCATGTTAGTGACAAATTACTTGTAATACATTTTCCAATTGTCATAACACTCTTTGAGAACTGCTGCCTTGGAGAGTGGTAGTTTCTGATAATATTACAACCCAGCACTGTTGGACACAAACATTGGGACTTGAGGATGCGGTTCTTGGAGCAGTGGGCTCATTGCCTAGGGAGTGCCATTCGTGTCTCAGTCTTTGTGGAGAGCAGCCCCTGGAGTTGTGCAGTACAGAGTGGCCCTGTTTAGAAGGGTAGGTTTGTGGTCCATAATCATGGAAAAATTCTCCCTGGTCAGAGATGAAAGAGGAAAGAGGAGGACTGCAGAGAAGAGGTCCCAGAATTTGGAAAATGCTTCAGGGTAAAGCTGAGTTGCTAGATGGAGACTCAGGTTCCCAGCATGCCCCATCTTCACCAAACTTTTGGGGTTTTAGGTTAGGGGGATGGTTCTGTGGCAATAGCTGTAATTATTATTGTGGAATTCAGTACATTTATTTTATAATGATTTTTGCTTAAATGTACTCAATCCCTAAATCTTTTGTCAAGCACATTTTTAAGCAGGGGAATGTTCTATTGGCCTGTACTAGAGTATCACTGATAAGACCAGCACTTCTGATCTGCATATCAGCAATTGAAACAGGTGGAAAAAACTGAAGGTTTTCGTTTACTATCCATATACTGCAAATAGTACAAGCTTAAAAACTTTCTATGAGCCCTACTGTTGAAAGCAACTTGAGGCCCTGTTTATAAGTAGGGTATAAGTAAAGACTCTGGGTTTCCATTCCCACAGGTGTAAAATTAAAGTGTAGTTGATGTACAATATTATATAAGTAACAGGTATACAATATAATGATTCAAAAATTTTCAACGTTATACTCCGTTTACAGTTCTAAAATATTGGCCATATACCCTGTGTTGTAGAATATATCCTTGTAGCTTATTTTATACATAATAGTTTGCACCTCTTAATCCCCTACCCTTATGTTGCTCCTCCCTCCTTCCCTCTCCCCAGTGGTAACCACTGGTTTCTATATCTGAGTCTGTTTTCTTTTTTGTTATATTCACTAGGTTGTTGTATTTTTTAGATTCCACATATAAGTGATATCATACAGTATTTGTCTTTCTCTGTTGGACTTATTTCACGTAGCATAATACCCTCCAAGTCCATCCATGTTGTTGCAAATGGCAAAATTTCATTCCTTTTTATGACTGATTAGTATTACATTGTATATATATATACCACATCATGTTTATCCAGTCATCTGTTGATGGACACTTAGGTTGCTTCCATATCTTGGCAGTTATAAATAATGCTGCTGTGAACATTGGCGTGCATGTATCTTTTCGAATTAA